TCAACGTAAGCAAAAGTTACGGTGATTGCATAGTGGCGAGGGCCTGGACTACAAATGCCACATATTGTAGATCACAATCAATATAGGACTGGCAATCTTTACCTCAAACGAGAAAATTGATCACGCTATGCATATTTAAGCTCATTCCCAATTATAGTGCCGGTATGATATCGTATCGATATATAACCCGAAGTTTACGTCAGACGGCAGACACATACCCATTGTGCATGTCACGTACAAGAGAACTCTCTATACGCCCCTCTCTCTCTCCAGCCCCAGAATACTCATTGAAGTTATTGCTGTCCATGAGAGACAGATCTTGCAGAAATAGCTTGATCGTTGCATCGTCCCATCCTCCCACGGGGAGGCGCCGCTGTATGCACAGGACAACAAAAGTATCAATGAATGCGCTTGTGTGAAGGGCCAGACATACACACATATTTGGGGATACAGAAGCAAGTACTATGTTATAAGCAGAAACACATTTGTGAGCTGGGGGTGTGAAGTCAGGATGCGTATTGGCGTCAGTGTATGAGCGCAAACCCTCGTGAAGATAGTGCACTTTGCACTCGTACTACTATTGTCAACAAGTGGAGTGAACCCAAAGATGTGAAAGTCGATGTGTAAGCACTGGTACACTCTACCCACGCGAATGTTCATGGGTTTGCCTCGTACACATTCCTTTGTTAAAGTCCTACAGAGGCACACTTCTACTTAAACGGAAATCATCGCAGACTGAAACGCAAAAGGTCCCCAAACGTTCCTCAACGGCATTTAACAGCACCTAATAACGCATTGTTTGTATTTATAATTGCCAATTCGTAAACTTGACTATACGCGTAAATTTGAGAAGTCTGGGTAAGTACGTGAATTCATCTATCATCGAGTACTGACAGGCTGGTCAGGTGCAACCAGACCAGAGCCCCATGAAAGTTCCAAATCCATTCACCGTTTAAGACAGGCACTTGTGTATATGAGACAAGGATATAGTACCGTCTCATCACAAAAGTAGTTTTCAAAGTAGTATTAAAAATCACTAAAAACTCAATATACACAAGTATACGATGTTCGGGTGCGTCTGAAGTACATGAGAATTCGCACTTGTGTACCAACCGTTCGATACAAAACATCTATGCGCGAGACCTAAATATAAGACACTTCCCCACCATCGCTATATTTAGAGGTATTTGTACCTCAAATGTACACAAGTACACGATTATAAGGCGAGTTTGATGTGTATTTGAAGTGGCACGGCTGAATCAATCAATCAGGAGTATAGGACTATTGGTGCTCTCAGGGCGAATTACTTGACACATGCCCACTAGAACTAAAGATGCAGAACCAAATGTGTCCCCTGGGCGATTTGCTTTCTGCATGTACACTATATCAAAAGATGTCTTATGAAACTAGGCAGTGCCATAGAAGATGTATTCGTATGGATACATGTGTATACGATATATATATATATATATATATATATATATATGTATATTTATATTTATATATATGTATATATATAAGTATACATACATACATACATACATACATACACATACACCCACCCACACACACAACACATAACACACACAAACACACACACACACATACACACACATATATATAAATCTGAGAAAAGTGGCCGACATACGTGTGGTAGATGCGTGCGCATTATATAAATCTGAGAAAAGTGGCCGACATACGTGTGGTAGATGCGTGCGCATGAATAAACGAATATATGGGTTTAAATCATGTGTACCATCAATATACATGGTGGTAGAAATGATAACATGCGCATGGATTATACACATATGCACAATTACACGTGCGTACGGGTGTAGAAACAAGGGTTTAGGGTTTAAATGCACGTGTATTTGGGTGTAAATGAAGGTGTACAAGTTATACATCAGACAACATTAAATCCCACCTGTGACAGCACTGTTTTCACCAAGTTTTCACGCGTGTTCCTGCTCTCCACGGCTTGCCGGACATAGTTCGCTGGGACGAGACCTTCTGCCAGTTTATAGTTTGGTTTGTTCATGTTGCCAGATCTTTGCTGTCTGTAGCTTGAGTACAGGTATCTCGATTAAGCGGCGTTCAATCAGGTCCATTTATGTCTTTCTTGTACATGCACGTGTTCGTTGCATGCAAAGCAGTTGACAGTGTGTACAATGGTACGAGTCGTGTCGTCTTTGTATGGTATGCGTGTGGACTTAGCGGGAGGAACCGTAGTATATATAATGAGTAGTATGTATATGTATATTCTACATAGGACCAGTTTACGTGTGTCGATCTCTGTAAATAATAGTATATATACTAACTGAGCTTCCCCTTTAATTTATGTGTGGACAATATATATATATATATATATATATATGCATTTTGGACACTTGGACAGATTGACGAGTACTTTCAGATTGGCGAGTACATACCATCAGAAGTAATTACGTAGCCGGCCTTTGCAGTTGATCCTGCTGGATATCGCAATATGAATAAGGACTCTGCGGGAAACTACATTTGAGAAGTAAAAATAATATTTTTACGGAGTCCATTTGTGTGTCTACTGTCCAAAGTGTCACCGCTGTCATTCATGATGTCAAACCAAACCTCATTACGTTATGGCAGCTCAGCGTATACGTTGAACGGGAACGTAAAAAGGTCTTGATATTTGTAATAACGTACAAGAGCGATAAAAGAGCCTCACTTGCTATGAAACACAACAAGACTCTATGGGGAAGTGTCACCAACTATTGCACCCAAAGACAAATACTGCACCCCCATCGGATATACAGAACCAAACCAAAGTGAACCGTTTAGCGTAAACATAAAAAAATATGTAAAAAATGTATATCAATTTATATACGTTTTAACGCAAAAGGTATTGAGGTTGGTGTCAAATGTCAACAAGGCTCAAGCTGAGGGCTATTTTTTGCGGATTAGGTAAAAGCAGCCGTAAAAAATGGGCTTTTATCACATTTACTATTTTCTTAAAACAAATTGGGTTGCCAACAACCTATACAAACTCCCAATAAATAAAAAACTTACGTAGAGGGGGGATAAGAGGACCGATGGATGGGAGTCCTCTATTATTTATAGAGGTCTATTCGTAGTAGTGCGAGGGTCTAAAGTCTAAACTCTAAACTACTGAGACGACCAAACATTGTGTGTATTTATTAGTTCAATGGTGACAGCCTTTTATTTTGGTGTCTGACATCTGACTGATTCGTACAAGTGGCTAATAACGTGTGCCTTGCACGGCGCCATAATATACATACGACAGTTAAAAGCAACGAAACCTCACAGATTATTTAGGTATAGTTCATCAATCGACTTCAGGTGGCGAGACAGTAGTATACACGTATACACATATACCTGTAATATAGGCAGTTTTTCTGTTGCCTATTCCATTTATTCCGTTGACACCATCTGCATCACTGCTTCAAAGTATTCCTTCCTAGTCGTCGCAATATATCGAACACAATTATCGTCCATATATCATTCTCCGTGAACATAGATAGGTTGGGTGAGATATAATCCAATATCACGACATCTAAACATTCTCTCGCTGTGCTACAGTATAATTACCACTGTACTTCAATTTTGACAGTATCATAGCTTAACACAAGATGGATGATACAGAGATGCAAGACGCAGCACCACAGAGTGCCGTCAAATCACGCGCAAAATCACAGGCACGAGAACAGGAAAATCTCAAGGCGAAGCTTACCAGGTGAGGAAGTTCGTGATGAATAATTTTTTTTTTGCAAGTACGTGTATACCTGTCAACACACGCATAAATATTTATATATTTTACTAATCAATGTATGTATAAATATTTACAAATGAATGTATATATACATTTATAAATTGTTGTACATAGCACACATACACACACACACACACGTACACGCACACACAACACACACACACACACAACACACACACACACACACATATATATATATATATAAATATATACATACATACATATATATATACATACATACATATATATATACATATATATATATATATATATATATGTATATACGCACACACACATACAAACGCACACACACATACAAACGCACACATACATACAAACGCACACACACATACAAACGCACACACACACGAATATACACATATGTACACATACATCCGCGTGTACACACACACACACACACACACACACACACATATATATATATATATATATATCTATAAGTTATATATATAATACGTATACTTCGTATAATGTATGCTATACGTAAGTTAGTTACGGTCGGCCCTGCAGGTAAGGAATAAGGCGGAGGTCGTTTATGGAGGGGACTCGACA